TTTAATATAATAATTGGGATTTTGAATGACATCCGTCTTTAAAAAAATAAGTTAGCACAAGTGATCACTATTATCAGACGATGTGGAGAGCGCAAACATTGGGTTGCTACCCTAAAGGCCAAGGTCACATTTAAAGTTTAAATGTTAAACAACTCGTGTCCGCTCCATAACTTAAAAACTGCAAAAAAATTGGCAAAAGTAAGCACCATTATGTGACAATAAGAAGAGCGCAATGATTTGGTTGCTACCCCTAAGGTCACGGTCACACTTTAAGGTCATGTGTCAAAAGTCTATATTTCGTGTCCGCTTCATAACATTTAAACCGCTGATTTTAATCTTTAAATAGCTTGAAAATAAGAACCATTATGAGACGACGATGTGCAAATTATAATTAGGTTGTTTTTCACAAGCTAATGGTCACATTTAAAGGTCAAATGTTAAAAGTCTTCATTTTCTGACCGCTTTATAACTGTAAAACCGCTGAATAAAATTATTAAAATACCTTGGCACAAGTGAGTACCATTATGAGACGATGAGCAGGGTGCAATACTGTAACCCAACGAATATTCGCGACTAATTAATATTCGCTTTATTCACGGATGGCGACGAAGCGCAAATATTTGTTTGCGCGAATAAGTCCGCACGATTTTGCGAATAAATTGGAGAGGAATTTTAATTTTGGACGTTGTTCATGCAAAGCTACTTAACCGGTTATATTCGAATTTTTCCGCCACCTGTTAGGAAGTAATAAATTGTTATGAATATTACGATAAAGCAATAAAACACAAACTAAGTAAACTACTACTATTTTATAAAGAACTCTTTGTCAATATAGCAATCAAAATAAACATCCACATTTTAATACAGTTTATGCTATAAAGTAATTGTTTGAGTGAATTGGTAAGAATCCTATAAAGCATCACAAAAGAGTATTGGGTGTACATTATTATAAACAGTGAAATCCAAGATGGTTCCACACTAGTATTGATTTTTACCCGTCAAACTTAACAGCCTGTATAGCTCAGTTGGTTAAATTGCGGACTCATGTAACAAAATATTTCTAGGCGTGGGTTCGATCCCTGATTGGAGAAGGCATTTTTTAAGACACCAATAATGACCTCAATTATTGAAGATAAATAATCGGCTAATGGATTTTTTGGCCCCATCGGACTTTCCAATCCGCGAATATTTTTTTCGGAAATAAAAAAAACGCGAACATTTGTATTCGAGAATATAAATTGGGTTACAGTAAGTATGCTGCTACACCCAAGGTCAAAGACACACTTTAAGGTTAAGTGTAAAAACGTCATCTTTTCTTCACACTTAAAAGCAGTGTTAAAATGTCTACATTTCGTTCCACTCAATATCATTTAAACGGCTGCAATATTTTAAAGCTCAGAAAAAATCACCTTTATGACCCCGTGTCACTACCCTCAATGTCAAGGTCTCAGTTAAAGGTTCAGTGATAAAACATCTATTTTTCATGTCCCCTCTAAAACTTATAAATAATTCAAAAATATTAAAATGCATCACTTTCTGCAAAGCGGGCAGGGAATTATAGGAATGACCTCCGTCTGTCAGTCCTTTTGTCCGACGTTCCATCAGTCTGAAACATTTGCGTGTCCGCTGCATAACTTTGAAGCGGCTGATTTTTTTAAATGACTTGGCACAACAAGTGATCACCATTATGCGACAATATGCAGAATGCATTAATTTGGTTGGTACTCTAAAGGTCAAGGTCGCACTAAAAGGTCAAATGTTCAAAAGTCTACATTTCGTGTTACTGAAAATATTTGGAAATATCTTGGCGATCACCAGTTTGAGACGATGTGCAGATCGCAATAACTCTGATCACCATTATGTCACGATATTAAGAACCCAACATACAGGTTGGTACCCAAAAAGGTCAAGGTTTAATGTCCTTCATATTTTTCTGGCTTTATGGAAGATTTGAATTAACTAAGCACAAATACTTACTACCATGAGTTAATGTGCATAATATATGCATGGCATTTCATCAAGCCATGGTTGGTAAAAGATATAAAAATAAACATTTATTTGCGCTGCGGAAGGGGATTTAGCTGTCCTTCAGTCTGCGTTGTGTTGATAAGGTATTGAAGGAAGGCTATTTTCCACTATTTTGCCCATGTTATTACGGGACCAAAACCATGTGTAAACATAGTCACGCGCTCTTTTTATAGCGTGGTTTTACCTACCTACATACAGGGCCAAGTAAACAAACAAAAAAAATGACGATTTGGCCTGTTTGCCAAAGTGTTATATTTAAATGATTGATTCGATGGCCTCAATTGCATAACGGCGAGCAGCATTCAAGTAACTATGCCGGAAATACGGCGTATAGACATCGCCGCTAATCTTGGTTGTCGCCCTTTCTAAGAAAATAACAGTTGTCAATGTAAACAAATAAATGTCATACAGTTTAACCCTCAAATTACTTTACAGAACAAGATAACACAAAATGAATATGAGAAGATGTTGTTTTATTGATGTTTATATTGATAAATGCTATTTATATTTCTTTGAGAGAATAATGTTTTGTGTCTGATATTCTTCTATAAACTTATGAGCTTGAAATAAAAACGATTCTGATGTCCTACCGTCAATCTGAAATCATTCTTAAATTTCTGAGGGTCATGTTTTGTCTTGGGCAGAGTAATTAAATGGGTTTTTGTGTTAAATTTCTTGAGTTAATAAATTCTCCAATGATAGATTTGTTAAATTAATAAGAATTCGAATTTTCGCACGGTTCTGAGCATTTGAATTTCCCAAGTAGTTGGGCCCAGTAAAATAAAACGCATACGTAAAACATGTAGAATTGGATACATACCTTACATCGTATGTGTTTTGTATTAAATATACATCATGAATCTTTTTTTTTCTAATTTAATAGCGTCAACGCACGTTTATTTCGTGTTAAAAAGTCTGCAGAGTCCCTCGGAACTGTTGGAACCCTTGCCCTATCGGACTCGGGCAACAACCGTTCCTCAGCACACTGCAGACGTTATAACACGAAAAAACGTGCGTTAACCCTATAAAGTAACAGTTTTAACATTTGTATTAAAATTATAATATAGCACACTTCTTTGCCAAAAAATAAACAAAACAGTTGACAACCACAGCAAGTAGAAATATTTTTGCAAATCGCATAGAAAAGACAGCACGTAAAGTTTTTGTTTCTAAAAGTATGCTTTTTCTTTTTCAAATAAAAAAAGGAAATAACACAAGATAAGAACATTCGTGTCAGATGTTTGGTACAATCTTTAGTTAGTTTTCCATACGGCATTGACTTAAGCCGTCCTGTCACGGTATTAAACAATAACTAGCGCGGTCGTTATGGAATTTCCTTGTGATGAAACAGTATTCAAGTGATGAATACTTGAAACAACCTACTAGAAAAACACGAAACTGGAAAGAACTAACGTAAAAAAAACATGCACTCACAATAATGTCATGCTAAACGCTATTCAAAGATCGAAAATATAACAACTTTGAATAACTATACGGGGGACACATTTTATAGCTGCCACACGGTACAAATAACACTGATGAGGCAATAAAATAGAGAAAAAACATAGAATTTAAAGAAAGACAAACACGGCAAAATTAGAAATTAAGCAAGCTCGGTTTTAGCATGTTCGTACACAAATTTGTAAAAGAAAATAATCTCGGCAATATCCAATTTATCAGGTCAAACGATTACTTGTTATGTATTTTATAAGTAAATAGTAAAAAAACACGAAGCATCTTTACTCTGAATTCAGTTTTAAAACGTATCAATTCAAGACAGTGTAAAATACGGTATTAAAGTGTTAAAATACGGTATTAAATTATCAAAAATCTTCGAGACTAATAATGGGTCATAGATACAAAACGATATTTTTGTTGGCCGTTTTAAATCATATCATTTTGTAAAAAACAATTTAAAGCAATTATTTATATCAAAATCTTGAAACAAAGTGAGCCCTAGGAAGCATTAATCACAAGAAAAATATATCAACACTTAAGTGAAGTACGGGGTAACTTTTACAGCTGCGACACGGCACTTGACACTTATTGTGAATCATAAAAATCTGGAAACAAAGTGATCCTCGGAAGTGCAACACCCCTTACACCTCCAAGCACCGGCGTTAGCGGTACTCAATCCTCAACACTTAATAGGGCTGACAACAATGATCCCGTAGGACAAGAAAAATACCACAAGTTAAATATAGTCCCCTAGCATCGACTTGAGTGGCCCTCAATTTTCAACACTTAATATCAAGTTTCTTTCAACTCTATAATATTTTGTTAAATGAATGTTAATAGTCTCTTTTCTATCACATTTCAAAAAGAAATAACCAACAATTGTGAAAAATCTAGGTTTCTTACGCCTTAGATACGTTCCTGACAAACATTTACCTAACTCCATAGCCAATAGAAAAAAGCACGTCACGAATATGATCCAACTGGCCATTGATCTTCAAGACAATACGAATCCCATCTCATTCAACCATGAACAAAAAATCTACTGTTCTTTCTTGACATATATGATATATCTACTAAAAAACTGAATATAACACAAACGTTCTGCATCAACCTCAAACATTTCGATATAGAATAGAAAACCTGTTTTATAGCACCATTCAGTATGCTATGAAACTTAATGACCACCTTTTTCACTAGCCTTTATTTCTATAAATGTAGTATCGGACTTCATTCATTTCTTTCTTTGAAGTAAGCAGGTCTTATGCACAATATTTTTTATCTAAATGAACTTTTACAACTGATTGCATTTAACTTTTAAGGTTTTTAACGTCATTTAGATCCACAGAGACAGAGCATGTGTTATACATTCCTAGTTCGGCGTATCACAACTGACAGAAACACACTTCTTGGGTTGGTTAATAGTTGAAATGAAGTAAATTATATCCGTCAGGTTTAACAAAGGAGAAAACATATCGAGTACAAAATGATATTCAAAATATAATTTCTTTTTTCAGTTTGGGGTATCAGTTTTGACTTTAAACCAATAGGAAAGGAATCGCAAAGAAAAATTAGTTCATTTCATTCTCCATCTGAGATGGATGGCTTTCAGAAGAACGGTTATTCATGTTTTTTTCGGGTAAGTTGAAGTTGGCATGAGCTATCAATCTCTATGTTATCCCCAGGTCTGTGGTTTTGAGAAAAAACACTTGCTTAAGTGATATGACTTTAAACAGGACAAATTAATTCAATTTTGCAGGAAGACCTTAAGTATTTGATTACTGTTAAGGTCTGATCCTCGTCTATGCACTCGGAACTGTATATATTTGTACAATCGTTTTGCTCTCAATACCAAATGTCAACGTTATAGAAAAAATAGTATCAGACAATACATCACAATTAAAATCAACATTTGAGTCTCTAATCACACTTCCGAATTAAATAATATCGTATTTAACATAAAGACATATGTCTAACTGCAAACAATCAAAATACATAAACAAAGACTTGATAATTATTTGTCTAGCTTGGGTTGTAATTTTTGTCTAATATAACATCATTCTTCACCCTTTCTACTGCATTTATTTGAGATGTTATCAATTGGAAGTTGTTCTTAAACTTTGTTTCTTCAAGTTCTGACCACCGTTTATTCGCATCTGATAGATTTTATATTGTAATATATCTTTATTACTCAGAATAATTAGATACGCAAATATGTTAAATAAACAAGCCCCAAATAAAGTGTTGTTAATCTCTGTATTGAGTTTGTATTATGAGGCAGTGTTGATATAAATATAAACCAAAAGATATTTTAAGCGAACTCGATTATACTCAGGTGACCTATTGCTATCCGTTTTTGTCCGGCGTCGTGCGTCGTGCGTTATGCGTTAACATTTTAATATCTAAACCTTCTTCTCTGAAGCCACTGAATCAATTGAAACCAATCTTGGCAAAAAGCATTTATGGATGAAGGTGAACAAAAATTGTGAAATTCAAGAGTCCTGTCATCTGGGCTCTGACGTTTGACGCTTAGATCATAAAAATAATGCAGTCTTTTAAAATCTTCAGTCAAACTGTTAAAATGATTGTAATAATCATTGAGCCTTCTAGAAACATTTTGAAATTCATGACCTCAGGGTCAGGGTCTCTGGTGCTAGGGCGGGGCCCTCTTGAATATACAGTGAAAGTACATTATTTCTTTAAAAGTAAATAAAAAATCGCCTTCTCTGCTCCTTGTTATTTAGGAAACACAGTAAATGCATATTTAATTATGAGAAAGGGTGATTTTTCCAAAATGGTGTATTCCACGACCCCAGGGATTCGAGGTTCGGAAGTCTGTTGTTGTTGATTTTTTGTTTGTTTGTTTAGACTAGTGTTGTTGTTTTTTGCTGGGACCACTAATGATTCTGTAGTAAAAATACATTAAATCTTTGAAAATCTTCTCCTCTGCTTCTGATTACAAGTAAATAGATGTATGAGGAAGAGTTCCTCTTTCAAAACTGTGACATCTATGGCTCCCGGTGTCTAAGTCAGGTCACAGGATGGGGCTAGCTTGGGTGTATATTGTAAAAATATTTAAAGAAAATGTGTTCTTTTATAACTTCATAACAATGAGACAGTTAAGCCGTTTGCATATTTATATCCCACAAACAAAACTAAGGGGGCTATATAGGAATCAACTTGTTGGTGGGTCCATTCGTCGGTAGATCGGTCTCCTTCATTGTTTCCGGACGATAATTAAAATTTGGAATGTGACATTGTTATCAAACCGTCTGTATAGCAACCTTGTGTAGAAACCCCGGTTTGTATTGTTTTTGGTTCCCCTGAGTATAAGGTCAAGGTCAGTGTTACTCAAAATAGAAAAATGGTTTCCGGACAATGACTATAGTTAGGAATGAGATATTGTAACCAAATTAAGTATTTAGTAATCTTTTATCTAGATATACGTTGGTATTGTATTTTGTTCCGAGGGATCAAGATCAAGGTTACCGTTTCTGAGGATAGACAACTGGTTGCCGGAAAATAACTAGATTCAAAAATGAGATTTTTTAATCAAACTTGGTATTAATTAAGTTCAAATCAAGGCCTGAGTTGGTTTTGCCTTTGGACCAATTGCGGTGTAGGTCAAGATCGCCGTTTCTGAAAGAAAAATGGTTTCCGGGCTATAGCTAGATTTAAGCATGAAATATTGTAATCAAACTTGGCATTTAGCAACATAGGTTAGTATTGCATTTGAATCCTTCTTGGGTCAAGATCAAGATGACTGTAACTGAAATAAGGGAAATAGTTTCTGGACAATAACTAGTATAAGTAATGTGATATTGTAATCATACTTTGTATTTAGCAAGCGTAAATAAAGGCCTGGCTTTGTATTGCATTCAGAACCCCTTAGGTCAAGATCACCGTTCCTTAAAAAAAGAAAAATATGGCTGTTAGACAAGAGTTATAGTAATGAATGGAATATTGTAATTAATCTAGTAGTAATTGTAGTTTAACCATGAATTTAACGAACAACTTTGTTTTGTGCTACTTGAAGTTTATGTTTAAGTTGTTTAGTAAGGCCACTATACCAAGATGAGCTGGCATAATCGAAGTGACACTGTATTAAAGAGTTTCATAAAAGTTTTAGTAGCTCCATATTCAAACTGTTGCCTTGTCTATACAAAAATTTTAATCGAGAGTTTACTTTTTGTACTATATTATCAACAATAGAAGTGGCTGAGAGATCATTATCCAAGATAGAACCGAGATACTTTACTGATGGCTTCGATTGTATGGTGTGATTATTACAGTGTATTTTTAACTGCTCTAGTTTTGACAATTTCCTCTTAGAACTAAAAACAATACATTCTGTTTTACCAAGATGTAATGATAGCTTATTATCAACAAGTCATTTACTACAATTTTCTAGTTCCTTACCCAGAACATTACAAATAACATCTGGATCTTTATGTGAATATAAAATTGCACTATCATCTGCATAAAGAATAAGCTTACATGTTTTGCTAATACTAATACTTATATCATTGACATAACATAGAAACAATAGAGGACCCAACATACTTCCCTGAGGAACACCACATGTAATACTCATAGCTTCAGACATAGTATTATTTACATTTACAATTTGACTACGACCAGTTAAATAAGATTGAAACCATTCTACTGACTCCATACCCATTTTTGTAACTTTCTACACAAGATGTCATTTTTGTTGGTTCAAAACAATTTTCATCATCTATGTTAAGAACAATATTTTGTGAAGATTTGGTTTTTTTACTGTAACCAAGGTCTTTTAATTGAAGCCATAATTTCTTTGGATTATATTTATTTTCTTGTAATTGATTTGAGATGTATCCAGACTTAGCTTTTTATCTGTCTCTGTATTAAGTATCTATAAAGACAGTATTTATTATACATATCTTTCTGATTATGTTTTCTAAATTCTTGTAAAAAATAATCTCTCATATTAATTAATTCTAATATGTTAGAGTCTAACCAAGGTTCACTCCTTTGTTTAAGTCTTACTTCTTTTACAGGAGCCACTACATTTAAAACTGATAAAAACATATCTTTAAAAAGGAGCCATGACTCATCGACAGATTTGGCCGTAAACATACTCGACCAGTCACAAAGTTTAAGATTGTGTATAAAATTTTCAGCAGAGTAGTTTTTCATTGATCTAATAATAATATTTTTGTGTTTATTAAAAGTGCCTTTTTGTAATTTTCTTGTACAATATACAGGCAGGTGGTCGCTAAGACCAATAGGTAAAGTACCTGACTGAAAAACCTTATCAGAATGACTACATAATATATGATCTATTAACGTTTTTGTATTTAATGTAATTCTAGTAGGTTCTTTTATAATCTGTGTTAAATTAAAGATTTTAAGAACACATTCATATTTCATAAATACAGAAGATGTTTTTTCCAACCAATCAATATTTAGATCACCCAAGAAAAAACATTCAGTGTCCGATCTTATTTTGGACAAAACTGTTTCAAACATATCTAAAAAGTCAACATAAGATTGTTTTGGAAGTCTATAACATGAATTTATTAAAATTGGTTTAGTTTTAGGAAGTAATAAGTCAGCCCATACAATTTCTAAGTGTTCAGTTTCGAGGTCTTGTCTCTCGGTGAATGCCAAATCTTCATGTATGTAGAGACACATTCCCCCTCCAGAACGATTCCTATCCTTCCCTATCACATTGTAGCCTTGTATTATCACTTCGTTGTCTGTTACACTGTTATCAAGCCATGACTCTGTTATAGCTATTGCAGAAAATTTAAACTTTGTTCCTATTTGCCTAAGTTCCGACATTTTTGGTAAAATAGAGCACACATTAAAATGAATAAAATGAAGGCCTTTACGTTCAAAGCAATTTATATTTTCACAAGAATCCCTGATTGTAGAAGAAACATTCTGATGTTGTTGGTTACTTTCAAGATTTGAACTGTTGACTCCTTTACTGTTGATAACATGATTGTTTGAAGAATTATGAATCTCATCAGCCGAAGGAATTTCCTTTGATAGAGATAACTTAGAACAAGCATTACACATCCATGATTCAAGATTGCTATACAGGGATGTAAATTCTCTTGGTGAAATCTGTTGACATTTTATGTGCCATTTATGATTACAAGTGACACACTTCACATTCCGATGAGTGGAGGCAATAGGTCTACAACATTTGAAACAAGGATTACGAATAGGTCCGGGGTTGACCTGTATATCTCCAGCCAGAAGTATAAGGAACCTAAGAGTATTCCTAGGTCGTAGAAATTTATTTCTACATGTATGTTGCAGGTGAAAATGTACTTCATGAAAAATGTCTGTAAAATTGCCATTTGAAGCAAACACAAAATTTATGTTGGTAGAAAATGTTTCTCCGATATTGAGTGATGTTAAATTATCGCTGTCACTAGTGTTTTCAGTTTCTTTTGACTGTAGAGACACCAGAACGGTGTAAAGTAGAAGTTTAAAGTTCATGTTAATCGGTAACAAACAAATTGCTTTATTATACAGTTTCTAATGAGCGTCTTTCGGGTTATACCTAACCCAACTGAATTAAACTACCAGCAAGATATTCCATGTAAATAGCAAGCGTCTAACTACACTGATTGTTTACTCAGATAAATTAAAATTATGCATTGTTTATAAGAACACGAATAAAATTTAACTTTTGTACCACAAGGTATCAAATATCGCCGCTACCTTAAATAGAAAAAAATGTTTTTGGAGGATAAGAATAGTTAAGAATTATTTTTTACACAGTTGATACTTTATGAATTATAGGTTGTGTTCAAATTTTGCTTAAGAACACTTAAATTTCTAAAGCAATTTGGAATGCATGACCCCTTTGGTTTTAGGTTTAGGCCCTAGGAATAGAATATCAGTTGCACAAAATAATATTAAACATAATATTATATAAAGACAATGTATTGGAATTAAAATATTTATGTGATGTTTGATTTTTTAATAAACGTATTTAAGTTATTTACACAAAAAAGAAAACAAACAATTAATTCACATAAGCTTTTTGTATAAAATCCAGGTGACCATTAAGACCCATGGACTTCTTGTTCAAATAGTAGCACATTTTGTGTTACTTTTATCTCTCCTGAAAGCAATTATGTTTTCACTTTTATATGCTTTATGAATTCAATATGTGTATAAATAAGGACTGTTTATGAGCAGTGCATTATATGTGGCGTGGTATATGTTTTATAAGCGATAACACTTGTTTTAAGAGTGGCTATTGATGTTGTTTTTATATATATATTTGATTATCTTTTTTGTCCAACAACTATTTATAAAATGTAATAAAACTTCGGTATGCCCATTGCGTACTTATTCTTAGACTAATGAAATGTCATTCCTATCACAACTGAATTGATGAAAATAAAATAAAAACATGTAAGAAATAGTTGAAATATGAACTAAAGTAATATGTTTGTTTCAGGAAAAAACGTATTGTCAACTTAAATATCGTGAAGCAGCTGTTGTTGACAATTTTAATGATAACTTTGCATATCCGTTTTGTAACTGCACAGAAGAAAAATCCGGGTAAGTGTTCAAATGAATTTACCCAAAAAAAATTTGTATTAATATTACATCAAATATGCGTTTTATAAATATGTATTCATCTCTTTAGTTGACAGAATCTACATGTTTGGTCAAAACAGAAATACTGTTTATATTCTTTAAATTTGACAAATATGTCACTTTGATATTTAAAAAATATGGTAACAAAGTAAAGATATGCAAAGCTCATTGTTAACTGTAATTGTATAAATTTATTGAAATGTAGGACCTTCACATTTAATGAGTGTAATTGGATTAAAATCTTTATCTATGTTAAAACTATTTCTTGGGATCTGCATCCAAGTTGATCTGGTCACTCCTTTTAAAGACTGACAGTACACATTCATGTTATGTTTACCTATAGTGTTTCGATATCCAAATTCAAATGCCGTGTGAAAAAGGATATGTATAGGAATTCCCAGATACTTCAAATACATAAATTGATTATAATGTATCTTTTATGTATATAATATTTTTGAAATGCAGCATATTTTAACTAACATTGAATTTGATAATTTATTTATAGTTCTTAGTAAAAAATATTACTGTAATAAAATGTAGTGTTCTATTTTTTTCAACAAATTATATTTTGTGACCACAAAATGCACGACAAAACGACAATAGAGTAAATAAGCATGACAATTGAAAAGCATCAGTCAAAATTCATTATTCAAATACCACAAAGTGAATAAACAAGATAATCCAAAAACTATACAATGGATATTGAACGAAGAAAAATGTCGTATCTCCCACACTGATACATCGAATGCAAATTCTAAAGTTTATATGAAGTACATAGACTCAATTTAAAGATTTCTTGGCCAACAAAATCACGACATAAAACGTATGATTTATGAAGAATGATATTGTAACAATCAAAATTCCATATATAGATTTATTGAGGGGACAATATGCGATGGAACTGAAATTGACTGGAACATAAGCCCATATTTAGCACAAAACGTTGATACCAATACCATTTACGACTTTAAACGGAATTTGCAATTGCGTCATTTCAAGACAAGACCCTTAATGATGTCCACAATCTGACTTCTTATTGCTACTTACGGTATGGAAAGTTCTAAACATATTTAGATAGCATGTTTTAGCAGACTTATAATCTCGTATTCAAGAGAGACAATTTTTAACTTCACATATATGTCGTTCCAGAGATATAAAAATTTCAATTATAGCATTTTTTTAACATACACAACGGAATAGACACGTCTGCATCATAAATCTAGCCTCTCGACGAATATTGCATTTAGAGATTCATAATAATAATCTCGAAACATTTGATCACAAAAAAAATAGTTGTTATATCTATATGCCAGAAATATACTGAGACATAAGTAATATACATTTCAAATAGAGAGTAGCAAAAAACACACGATTTACAGATCTGAAGACACAATTGTAAGTTAACTATGCCAAGAGATTGTTGTATATTTGTATTAAATATAACTGATCATTTGTATAAATAAATAGTTTGATAAAATTATAGGGCAATAAAAAATGATTATATTTATTTAAGAATAGCAGATGTAGAAAAGCTAAGGAAGATAGTTCTTACAAGATTCAATTTGCTGTAAAAATAAGATAGACCAACAAAAGCAAACAATCGCGGCGTATGCGATGCATGTGTAATTATGAGTGATCTGTGAGAATGCCAGCGGTTTACAATCTGATCTGGATCATGATCTTTGGAGAATACATTTACACCATATGCGAAGTAACAAATGATTATTTGTCTAAGTATTGAATTTTGTGTAACTTGACATCTGTAAATTATACTTAATATATTTTTCACAGCCACGATTAAATCGATTTTTCTACCTAATTTGAAACAAGTAAATCAATCAAGTAATACTTCCGGGATTTCGTTTGCTTTCATTATTCATATAGATAAAATATCAAGCTATATCTTTTAATTGAGTAATTGTATCTACAAATTTACAACAAAATAGATTTTAATTACAAACTATCATCATAATTGAAAGGATTTTTTGTCAAAAAGTACCTTATCCACTTATTAAGCAGATGTCACATTATAATCCACATGAAGATGCGAAGTATTAGTACGAGTCAATGCACTTAGACAGAGCGTTTGAACTGATAATAGATAAAAAAACATAAAAATGAAGGATTTTGTATGCAACTACACCAGCTTATAACACTTCCAGTATATTGACACTTTTTTGATGTCATATTGTGATGTCTGACGTAAAACTTTTTTTTAACACACTAACTTGCTATCCGATGCACTCACATCAGACACTATTTTCTACTCTCCCAATAGCTAGACAAATCTATATAGAACAAGTAAAACACTGTCGATTTCATACAAGTATGGCAGGTAGTTATTTGAAGGATATTTAACAGAGCATTTACATAATACACATATTTACACCTAGTTAGATTGTCTTTGAATATGCTGAGATCATATAAAAAAAAAATTCTAGGTGTGCACCTTTTTGAGAGCTCCATGCTGACAAACGCAATTACGATGTCAGAGGTATCACATGATGGATGAAAAAAACATAACTATTTATTACGCCTATGTCTATCGTACCATACGTCACTTAATCTGTAATATGAGGGAGGGCGAGAGAGAGTCGATAATATATCGAAGAAAAATGTCTAAGTTAAGTTGCGGGATATCACTTGGACTTGTACTGTCCTGGAGTGAGAGAGTAAATGGCGAGATTTTTAGGTGCAACGAAATACACGACACATTAACTCCATTATAACATTATTATCATCGAATTTAGCCGTAATATTGGTTAAATTTAGCTAATAGCAAAAGACACGCACGCACCATAAAAAAGAATACGTCTATTAGGTTAGTGACACATTAATGATTCCTTATATCCTTAATCTAAAAAGCGAGTTTGCACAAAACTCAGAGGATTTTTTTTGCTTTGTAATTGAATCACATCACTTATTTTATAAGAACACATACCATACATACGAACACTCCTATACTCACAGTACTAACTCACAAGTAGGCTAGATACGACATTTAACATGTAGAATAAAAAATAGCTGAAAACAAAATAACCTACTTCGAGAGGAGAGTCCACTATCTTTGTTATTTTATCTTATAATAAAAACTTATATCGCCATGTGAGTACAGCGAGAGCAGATAATAATATATGGGAGCGCAATAATAAGTAGAAATTCTAGTGAATCAAAAAAGCCGCAGTCATCATTGGGTCCAAACATAACACAGAGGCAAAATCATATTACTTGGTGTTGTATCGTATTCACTGGCTGAATTGGATTTTCTTTGTCTAAAAATAGGTTGAGACTCACAATCAATGATCATACACAGTTGACTGTTAATTACGCGTGTTTATTAAAAAATAATTGTTGCGTTTTGATCTTTATGACATATTTCTCGATTACAATATCATCACATTATTATAATACTTAAAGGCTATACCGCAATGATTATTGTAAACTTGAATTATTTTTGTATGTGCAGGGTTCGTGAAGTCGCTGCAAACCTAACACGTGCGTCTTTTTCCCGCGCTTCAACGAGGCATTTTTTACATGTTTATAAAATTGTACTTTTTGTGACTTTTTTTTAATTCTTAGCCTATTCATATAGTAAAACAATTATTCTCTAGAGAACCATTGAATATGATGTGACATTCACCGACAGAAAGTCATATTGACTTCGGCTATCGCCCCCGTCAATATGTCATCTGCTGGTGAATATCACATCATATTCAATCGCATACTAGTCAATAATTGTATAATAATATATGATTGTAGTACATTATTAAGTTCTATTGGACGAGTACACAGCTTTGAGAATTATATTGGACGGCACTAGCCGAGTCTGATATAGGTTTTGCAGCACAAGTCCAATAGAATCAATATTAATCTCTACAATATTTAATCGCATCATTATATCATACAATCATTTTTTAACGTTTTAACAAATTTGTGTTTCTTCAACTGCAAAAAGGATTTCATATGATTTTTCACACTTAAATGATCACGATGCTAGATGAAGATGATGTTTTGAACTCATAAATTAAAACGAGGCTATATGAGTATGATATGCGAAAAAGTTTAGAAAATATTAAAAGGTTTAGGTGTACCATCAAAAAAAGACTCTTCGTCTTCAAATATAGGTTTAAACATCAATAATAGTATATGTTTTGATAAATTTTGTGTTGCTGAAAAATTTAATGAATTTTTTACGACTGTTGCTCAAAAGTTAGTTGAAAAACTTCCTACTAGTATGAATAATTTTGGAAGAAACTTTCTATTATATTTTTATAGTAAAAAGGGTGTTGTATGTAACAGTTTTTCTTTATCTGTTGTTACTAAGGGAACTGTAATTAAGTACTAAAATAAACTAGGGGTCAATTAAGCTACAGGCTTGGATGGTATACTTGCGCGATTTATAAAGGATAGTGTTCACAACATTGCTGAACCCCTTACTCATATACTTAATTTGTCCATTATTACTGGTATTGTTCCAGATGATCTCAAGTTTGCCCGTGTTGTTCCATTGTATATAAAAATGATAAGACTGAACCTGGTAATTATCGACCAGTGTCTATTTTAAGTGTAGTGTCCTTGAGAGAATTATTTATGACCAAGTAGAGAGTTACTTATCAGAGAAAAACCTTCTATATACCCATCAGTCTGGTTTAAGAGATAGATCTTCTACTGACACTTGATTTTTACACCTTACAGATTTCATTAAATTTGAAATGGATAAAGGTAATTAAGTTGGTATGGTCCTTTTAGATTTACAAAAGGCGTTCGACACTGTCGATCATAATATTTTACTCATGAAACTTGATGCCATGGGGTTATCTAGTGATGTTATTCACTGGTTTAGGTCTTACTTATCTAGCCGTATACAAATGGTCAATGTCTCCGGTGTACTTTCATCTAGCGCCAATGTGACTTGTGGGGTACCCCCAAGGTTCGATCCTTGGCCCTCTCCTATTCATCATTTATGTTAATGATATGGAGGCTGTGGTTCGTAATAGATTGCTTCTGTATGCTGATGACTCAGGTATTTTATTATCAGGTAAAGATATCCAGTATATTACCTCTCTGCTTACTTATGATCTCAGCAGTGTGAGTAAGTGGCTCACTGATAATAAACTTTCCTTACATCTTGGAAAGACAGAGTCTATTTTATTTGCGTCTAAACCAAGACTTAGGTCATGTGATCAACTAAATATTGTATGTAATGGTATTACAATAACATCCACCAAATCTGTTAAATACTTAGATGCTGACCTAGATCAATGTCTATCTGGTGAGTCTATAGCCAGCCAGGTAATTAAGAAGGCCAATGCAAAACTTAAGTTTTAATATAGAAAAAAGTTCATTTTTAAATAGGTATAACTAACAGCTTTTAGTTTCTTTATTAATACAATGTCATTTTGATTATGCGTGTGCCTCCTGGTATTTAGGGTTGAGTCAAAATCTAAAAAAATAGACTTCAGGCCACACAGAATAAGTTGGTGAGGTTTATACTTAATCTCAGTCCCCGTACTTATTTAGGGAAGGCTCATTTTGAGGAAGTAGGTTGGTTACCAGTCTATCTGAGGGTAAATTTCCTTTATTCTTGTCATGTACATAAGATACATAAACAATAGTGCACCTAATTATTTAAATGAGCATTTTCAAATTGCAAATGAGGTACACTCTTACTCCACTCGATTTAGAGATAGTAACAAATTATTCTATTCCAAGAGTTAAGGGTTTCGGTAAGAAAACATTTGTATTTAATGGTTGTCAGGAATGGAACAGGTTACCAACACATCTTAGGTTCATAACAAGTCGTGATAATTTTAAAAAATCTCTTAAGGAACATTTTATGCAATCAATATCTGTTTAGTCATTTTAAACTAGTCATCTTACCTAGTTTTTATTTATATATTTTTTATGTTAAGTGCATATTTTAGTAGTACCTAGTCATTGTCGAACATATCTTTCATAATAATTATGATTATAATACATGTGTGATAAATTTTGTGATGGAAATAGTTATGTGCAATAATTGATAAAAGAAATTGTGATTGAATAATTTTTGTGCAATACTTAATAATTAGTAAATATTTTGCCTTTCTGGTGTCATATGATCAATTCTAAGGACCACAATGGAAATAAGTCGGCTTATGCCTTCTTTTTGTGTCATCCTTGGTATTGAATATATGGCATCAACACATGCACTTTCATGTTTACATGTATCTCTTGATGTTGACATTGAATTTGTAGTTGTTTTATGACATGTATTTTTTACCAGAATGAAACTATCTATCTATGCATTAATATTTAATACAATCTGGTTTGACTCTTAAAATTAAAATGAGATTCAGTTGATAAGATTAGATATAAGAATGATTGATATTAGAACATCACATGGTGCAAACGCTGACAGTTTATTGGTTACATTTTTGAGGTGTAACATAAATGATTTTTATTACATCATAAAAATATATTGATTTAAAGTGAGGTTGAAAATGAGCAGAGCTATACCAGCATTCACATTAACTATCTCGGATTCCAGGCGTTCCGGAACCCGGTATTTTTCAATCACTTGTGTGACAATTAAAACTCTTCTCTATACTTAACACATATTTCATTTTACAATTTGTTAATATTTTAACACAATTTCAAATGAAACAAAGCATTTTTTAACTTGGACTGTTGTAGACTATTATAATATCTAAAAACTCTAAAAGAAATAATTACAAGATTTACTCATCTTGTTTCAATTTAAATTTAATATTGACATCTGCCAGAGAACGCCTTTAGGAAGTATCATCCGTATACGAGCGAAATATTCTATTCCATAGCCATACCAACCCTGACCGAATCAATAACTTTTAAATTAAATCGCTTTATGGTGTCACAACTAGACACCTGTACCAGATGACCTAGACTACATAGCACCACGACCATTCAAATGCTTATGAGCTTCTTATACGTATCGTGTGCTCTTGTCTTAGCAATCTACTTCCTTATTATCCTTTAGTGATAAATCGGCTTATACATTTCCTATCTATCTGTCTATGTATTAATATTTTAAGCAAATTATTAAAGATGACCTAAGTGATAAATCCAAGGTATTAAAACTAAAAGACACGTGGAAGATACACACGTATCGAATCTTTAAACGTCATCAAGATAAAAGTTTTATAAAATATCAAACGATATTCAGCATAGTAAATCAATTAAATTATCTAACAGAAAAATAAAATAAACAATATTTTTTTTACAATTCCATTCAAAGCAATTACAGTATTTATATCGGCAGTTATGTAAGTAACGCAGTAGCTTGAGCAAAAAGAATCGCGTTTCATTGAAGATTTTGGTAAACTTTTCTTCTTGAATTACATGAATTAAGAGTTCAGTAACGATGGAATTTCTCTTTAACATAACTGATACTGTATTAAGATATTATTATTTAATATTTTTTATTCTAACATCTGGCTGGGAGCGTGCTGGATAAAAGAAAAGTTGCTTTTAAAAATGAATGGAAAACACAAAACAAATTACACAATTGGCGTTAAGTAAATCAAACTCAATTTAACCAGTTGTATAATCTCTATTGAAAGAAAACATATTGACCGGTTTTATATAGCTGTCAATGCTTACTTGAAAAAAAAATCTATGTTTTTAATTTTGCTTTTTTTTAATTTAATATTGAATATAATAATGTTCATAATAAACACCATAATATTGCAATAAATTATCAACTTTTTGTTGATGATGTCAGCTTCTCCTTTGCTGGAAATAAAAAACAACGGTTGTATATGAATAAAATAGAGATAAATAAGAATCCCTAAAGAAATCCCAACACGGCAAAATTGAAAATGTTGCACGCTCAGTTTGATTAAGCCTGGTCATGGACGGTACTGTCAATTGCAAATTACCGTCCACGCCCCCTATCAGCGACTTAAGCAGAATTCGACATTTTATATGAACTGGTAAAATTAAGAATTTTAAAACATCCGCAGATGTGTTCATATGGCGGTTATTTATTCAATTTAATATTCATTAAGTTGTAATCTCTTTTGCCGTCATCTAATAAGAAAATTGAACAACGATTCTGTTTTGTATCAAACCAAGAATATAATTGGATTATTCATTTGAAATAACTACATGTATAAAATACTGTTAAACATGAGAGACTATAGCTACTCAAACGATGAACATACATGCTAGTATGATGCTACATGGCTTATGTCTCGAATTCTTTATTATTTTATTCTACTTAAAAAGTAAAACAGAGTGACATCACAAATCATTCTCAGTCATTCACCACTGAAGAAAATGATATATATTTTAGTAATTTACAATGAATCGCTCTATATTGTCCGAGTCATTGAAAAAGCATTTGATTTTCAGAAAATTTCACTTGTCCAGCAAATACAGTCAAATGTCCAGGAAGTTATTGTATTGAACAACGATTTCTTTGTGACGGACAAAATGAATGTCCTGGAGGAGAAGATGAACAGGACTGTAGTAAGTTATTAAAATCTATAATCTAATTAACTCGTTCTTTTGATTTTTTTTCGTTCAAAAATGTCAATTTTACAGTATTCCAGTCGTGGATTGCTATGTTAATAATCGGGTAATTATATATAGATTATTTTTTCATTCTATCAGTTAGAATGTCGCTTACAATGACCGCCCGGGCCCAATCTACGGATAACTATGTTGAATACAACATAATCAGCTACAGTAAATGTTGCAAGCCATTTTGCCATACCTACATATAAGCTAATTGCAATACATATAGATTATCCCATTGCCATACCTACAGATTATCCCATTTATATATCTACAGATTAGTTCATTGCCACACCTAAAGATTAGCCAATTGTCACACATACAGACTATCCAATTGTGAAGCCTTTAGATTATCCCATTGTTATATCTACAGATTATCTCATTGTTATATCTACAGATTATCTCATTGCCATACATACATATTATCCCATTGCCATACATACATATTATCCCATTGTCATATCTACAGATTATCTCATTGTCATATATACATATTATCCCATTGTCATATCTACAAATTATCCCATTGTCATACATACATATTGTCCCATTGTCATATCTACAGATTATCTCATTGTCATATCTACAGATTATCTCATTGTCATATATACATATTATCCCATTGTCATATCTACAAATTATCCCATTGTCATACATACATATTATCCCATTGTCATATCTACAAATTATCCCATTGTCATACATACATATTGTCCCATTGTCATACATACGTATTATCACATTGTCATAAATACATATTGTCCCATTGTCATATCTACAGATTATCTCATTGTCATATCTACAAATTATCCCATTGTCATACATACATATTGTCCCATTGTCATATCTACAGATTATCCCAATATCATCACTACAGATTAGCCAGTTGTCATACCAACATATTAGCCCTTTGTCATACATATAGAGTAGCCAATTGTTCACTTACACATCAGCCCATTTATTGAACTTGTTAAATAAAATCTTCATATGCGAGCCTCTGGCGCGAATAGAAATTTTTATTCAAGGAGTTCAATGAATTCATTACTGGATCTTCACGAAATTAATATTATATTTATCACATAACCATAATAAGATTGGTTTGCAGTTAAAATGTGTAATTTTTCATGGACGCACATATAATGTAACGCTCACTAACTCTATGTTTTTATTATATACCTATAAATGTTTTCCCTAATGTTTTCCGTATTATGTTAGTGACAAATACGGTACCATATATGGAAGTGGCGGACTATTTTGACGTTGGTTCCGATCTTAGCTTTGTATAATTTTGCATTTGGAAAAGGGAACCAAAATTATTAGAGGTGTGGCCGGTTCGCACGAATTACGTATTCATCTGTCAGTCATGAATGTATTTCTTGAAAAATACATTTCATTTTCTGAATGAAAGGAACAGATATCATAAAAGGAAAATGGGCCAAATACAGAAAAGGCCGGGTTGCATATGTATACAAAATATCATGAGGCTATTTAAAATGTTTCTACCACTGACCATACATGTTGAAAATTTAACTTAGTCGGTAAACCGCAAGTGGGTGAGCATCAGACCTGAAATAGAATCATACAATATGGGACCACATGTCAATGCTGTGAACCACATATCAAGAGGCTGTGGTAAGAAGTTGCTGTGAAAACTGTTACAAAATTTCTTACTATTGATCATTAATTATGTCAAAATTTAACTAAGTCGGCAAACAGGAAGTGGATGAGCTACAGATCTGAAATAAAATCCCACGGTATGGGACTATGTGTTAATGATGTATACCAAATATCAAAAGACTGTAATTAGTAGTTGCTGCGTAAGTTGTTACGAAAGTTTCCTACCATTGACCATTAATGCCATAAATCTAACTTAGTCGGCAAACAAGTAGTGGATGAACTGCAGACCTGAAATCTTATCCTACGGTATGGGACTATGTGTTCATGCTGTATACCAAATATCAAAAGACTGTGATAAGTAGTTGCTGAGAAAACTGTTACGAAAATTTCCTACCATTGACCATTAATGTCGAAAATTTAACTAAGTCGGCAAATAGGAAGGAGGAAAGCAACATACCTGAAATCCAACCCCACGGTATGGAACTACATTGTAATGCTGTATATCAAATATTAAAAGACTGTGATAAGTAGTTGCTGAGAAAACTGTTACGAAAATGTTCTACCATTGACCATTAATGTCGAAAATTTAACTAAGTCGGCAAACAGGGAGTGGAAAAGCAACAGACATGAAATCCCAACCCAAGGTATGGGACTACATGGTAATGCTGTATATTAAATATCAAAAGGCTGTGATAAGTAGTTGCTGAGAAAACTGTTACGAACATTTCATACTATTGACCATTAATGTTGAAAATTTAACTAAGTCGCCAATCAGGAAGTCAATGAGCGACAGACCCGAAATCAAATTCCACGATAAGAGACCATGTTTTTGATACTGTATACCAAATATCAAAAGGCCTTGATAAGTAGTTGCTGAGAAAACTCTAACGAAAATTTCCTACAATTGACCATTAATGTTAAAAATTTAACTAAGTCTGCAAACAGGAAGTGAATAGGTAAATAGTTATTGTCGATTTTAAAAAGGCGTTTGACCCCGTATATAGAAATAGTATATGGCTTAAGGTGTATGAGCAAGTAAAATCATGTGTCAAAGAAAGTGGCTGTTTATCTAATTATTTCGACATCATTTAGTATGAAGCAGGGAGAGCCATTATCATCTCTATAATTTCTTGGGGTATTTTTGGTTTGTTTCTTTATGCTATGCGTAATCAGGCAGACACTATAGATAGATTTACTGCCGACGAATCACAGACATTCCTATTGTTTTTTTGCAAATGGTTTACAGCATTTTATGAACAAACTACAACACCACTGTGCCCGGTAGTGTATTATGGTTTATACAAAAAACACTTGTTATGCTTGGCAAAAAAAATGTTAAAAGAAAAAACATTGATTCTATAATACTTACAGATTGAATATTATTTAATTATTTACATATTTTAGTTGTTTTTTTTTTTGTCTTCAAATGGAACGTTTTATCTTTCACAGCCTTAGTTTTTACTTTATTCAACAGATGTATGTAAAAGGCCTCTTCCCAATCGAAATTATCTTTAAAATCATATAGTTTTCCTAAAGATCTTAACTTATACCAGCTTTTTTTAATTCCCAACTTTGCAATTTTATCAATAATTTTTACCCAAACAGAAGACGCTTAGGTTCCTTCACAATTAAAGACGTTTTCGGTAGTTTTCTGTGCGCATCGTTATGCGCTTCCACGAAAGATAATCACGGTTAATTACTCTTCAAATGAAGGTCAAGTTGAATAGTATTCGGATAAGTGTTTAAATTTCGGCTATAAGCAAATAATGAGTAAATAATACAGAATAGATATTTCTAAATGTTCAAAAGGAGATCGGTTCAAAAGAATAAGAGGTCGTTTAGACAACATCACATAAAAGATTTCTCCAAGCATTAGTACGACAGCATTGATGATAATTCTGCGCGCGTTACCCCACCCACTTGTGGTATAGTGACGAAAGTACGCCGCGACTTGATTACTGGCAGACAACTGGGCAAAGAAGTTTAAAATGATTTATTTTAAAAGTGTTGAATAAAAAACAAAATTAATATCTAAGAAATGTTCCGAATTTCATTATTTTCTTTGTAAATTTCTGAATACTTGCTTACTGTTCGAGAATGTTAGTCGAGTGAAAAATATAATATGGCCCTAGATGGGTGAGCATCAGACCTGAAATAGAATCATACAATATGGGACCACATGTCAATGCTGTGAACCACATATCAAGAGGCTGTGGTAAGAAGTTGCTGTGAAAACTGTTAAAAAATTTCTTACTATTGATCATTAATTATGTCAAAATTTAACTAAGTCGGCAAACAAGAAGTGGATGAGCTACAGATCTGAAATAAAATCCCACGGTATGGGACCATGTGTTAATGATGTATACCAAATATCAAAAGGCTGTAATTAGTAGTTGCTGCGTAAGTTGTTACGAAAATTTCCTACCATTGACAATTAATGCCATAAATCTAACTTAGTCGACAAACAGGTAGTGGATGAGCTGTAGACCTGAAATCGTATCCCACAATATGGGACTATGTGTTGATGCTGTATACCAAATATCAAAATACTGGGATAAGTAGTTGCTGAGAAAACTGTTACGAAAATTTCCTACCATTGACCATTAATGTCGAAAATTTAACTAAGTCGGCAAACAGGAATTGAAAACGCAACAGACCTGAAATCCAATCCCACGGTATGGAACTACATTGTAATGCTGTATATCAAATATTAAAAGACTGTGATAAGTAGTTGCTGAGAAAACTGTTACGAAAATGTTCTACCATTGACCATTAATGTCGAAAATTTAACTAAGTCGGCAAACAGGGAGTGGAAAAGCAACAGACATGAAATCCCAACCCAAGGTATGGGACTACATGGTAATGCTGTATATTAAATATCAAAAGGCTGTGATAAGTAGTTGCTGAGAAAACTGTTACGAACATTTCATACTATTGACCATTAATGTTGAAAATTTAACTAAGTCGCCAAACAGGAAGTCAATGAGCGACAGACCCGAAATCAAATTCCACGATAAGAGACCATGTTTTGATACTGTATACCAAATATCAAAAGGCCTTGATAAGTAGTTGCTGAGAAAACTCTAACGAAAATTTCCTACAATTGACCATTAATGTTAAAAATTTAACTAAGTCTGCAAACAGGAAGTGAATAGGTAAATAGTTATTGTCGATTTTAAAAAGGCGTTTGACCCCGTATATAGAAATAGTATATGGCTTAAGGTGTATGAGCAAGTAAAATCATGTGTCAAAGAAAGTGGCTGTTTATCTAATTATTTCGACATCATTTAGTATGAAGCAGGGAGAGCCATTATCAACTCTATAATTTCTGTTTTTTTTTATTTTTTTGTTTATGCTATGAGTAATCAGGCAGACACTATAGATACATTTACTGCCGACGAATCACAGACATTCCTATTGTTTTTTGCAAATGGTTTACAGCATTTGATGAACAAACTACAACACCACTGTGACCGGTGGTGTATTATGGTTTATACAAAAAACACTTGTTATGCTTGGCAAAAAAGGTTAAAAGAAAAAACATTGATTCTATAATACTTACAGATTGAATATTATTTAACTATCTACATATTTTAGTGTTGTTGTTTTTTTTGTCTTCAAATGGAACGTTTTATATTTCACAGCCTTAGTTTTTACTTTATTCAACAGATGTATGTAAAAGGCCTCTTCCCAATCAAATTATCTTTAAAATCATGTAGTTTTCCTAAAGATCTTAACTTATACCAGCTTTTTTAATTCCCAACTTTGCAATTTTATCAATAATTTTTACCCAAACAGAAGACGCTTAGGTTCCTTCACAATTAAAGACGTTTTCGGTAGTTTTCTGTGCGCATCGTTATGCGCTTCCACGAAAGATAATCACGGTTAATTACTCTTCAAATGAAGGTCAAGTTGAATAGTATTCGGATAAGTGTTTAAATTTCGGCTATAAGCAAATAATGAGTAAATAATACAGAATAGATATTTCTAAATGTTCAAAAGGAGATCGGTTCAAAAGAATAAGAGGTCGTTTAGACAACATCACATAAAAGATTTCTCCAAGCATTAGTACGACAGCATTGATGATAATTCTGCGCGCGTTACCCCACCCACTTGTGGTATAGTGACGAAAGTGCGCCGCGACTTGATTACTGGCAGACAACTGGGCAAAGAAGTTTAAAATGATTTATTTTAAAAGTGTTGAATAAAAAACAAAATTAATATCTAAGAAATGTTCCGAATTTCATTATTTTCTTTGTAAATTTCTGAATACTTGCTTACTGTTCGAGAATGTTAGTCGAGTGAAAAATATAATATGGCCCTAGATATGTTTTAAAAAGATATTCAGTATCATTTACTTAATATAACATCAAAAGAAAAAGAAATTTTTATTACAACATGTTTTTGTTGTATATTTGACAATACATTTAGTATAACACTGATATTTCTTAAGAAAGCGGCCGTGGTAATTTTGACAGTTGGCATATGCGGTAATTATTGAAACTGCCCGTTTACAAAAAACTAACACGTCAACATATATATTTTATTTATATTTTTGAATCCACCATCAAATGTTACGTGATATATCAATAATGTAGAAAATTCTATGAAAGACATTTCTTGATAGCTTTAATTTTTTACAGAATTCATGTTTATTTTTCTCATTTTTTGTTTAGTTAAAAAACATAAAAACTTATTTTTTTAAGGAATATGTTCCAATTATCGTTTGTTTTATACAGAACCCTAAGATAAAGCAAGCTTTGTATAAAATTATGTTTATTGTGAGTGTAATAAGCTATTTTATACATTATTATAACACAGTTTGGCTATTTTGACAATTTTGAGATATACGGTTACCATGGAAACTGCCATTTTTTTTAGGATTTAGAATTTTAGGATTACGGGGTGACTGGTCAAAGGTCATATGGGTATTTTACAACAAAATATTTTACCACCAATAGCACAACAGCCTTTCGATTCTTTTAACTCAAACGTCTGGGTCTTTGAATTCAGAAAAATCTTATTATTTTAGATTCAATTAAACAAAGGTCGAGGTCACATTCATCTAGTCTATAAATACGGTTATCGATCGATAACTCAACAACCTGTGGACCTTTCGCTCTCAAATTTTACAGGTGCATTGTTCTGGCTAGTTCATTAACCTTATTGATCGGGGTCATGGCATCAAAGGTCAAGGTCATATTAATCTTGTATGTAAAACAATGGCTTTTAGTATCATGACAGTTTCCGACCAATAACTTAAAAACTCAAGCAAATACTTCTTTCATGACTATCTTAACTTTAAACATTAATTTGCTACTCTAACTTGAATTATGGCATAAGTCCGTCTTCATCAATTAGCAGGCGAATTGTTTGAAAACACACCTAAATTTTCAGTCTACAATATGAAGTGATTAAAACAAATCGACTTGCTTGTTTAAATTGTATTGATATATATGCAGAGGGCAACAACTTAATAAATACTTAAAGCAGGACAGATCCCACGATTTACTACACACAACAACATACATCATGTGCATGTATGTATACAATGTTGACAATGTGTATTTAAGAACTACGCATTCAAACACTTAGACCTATTGAAACAAGAAATAGAAAATTCCAGAGCTTGTAGTGAGGGTCATATTTTGGCAGCAAAAATAATTCAGAAGTACAAAAAGTGAAGTTTGTAATGAATCGTCCGGCCGGGGGGTAAAAATTGACACGATTTTTCGTGAATCTGTGTTAATTTCAAATGCCTTCAGAAAGTAAATTTAATATGTGATCTCAATTAGTATTATTAGTTATTACATGCATATCAAATGTGACATTCTTAAGTTTTAAGTTTACTTTTATTTCTGTTTCATGAAAAATACTGTTGACAAATTAATATCGGAGTTGAATTAGATATTGAAGGTTTTTAATTTTATGCTTAATTTAGACATTGTGCATCATTCGATAAATTGTTGCTTAGATAATAATACTAATTGTAAAAGAATAGATCTGACTCTTCTATTCTCAAAATCGTCGTACACAGTATCAGAAAAAAATCAGCAAATTATTTAGTTCAAGTGTATGTGTAACTAGCTAAGAGTCTTTGTTATGATGTTTTTGTCAAATTGCAACATTGTTAATTTTTAAGCAAGGGCTTAATGGCTGATGAGAAAAAAGCTCTTAGATCAAGATTACAAAAGAAAAATATCTTTATGACCGAAATACAGTGCAGATTTTAATTCTAATTTCAGCTTGTGAAGACTCGGATAGAGAAGTAATCATATTTGTGGAAAATGATGACTCTGAGAGCAGAGAAGCAGCAACGCATTTAGCTAAACAATTTTTCGCAAACAGTAACAATAACATCGTAAGATTGTTTTATTTTAAGATTCTGCATAGAGAAATGAAGTTTGACATAGATTACAGGCTATTGGAAATAAACATAGAGCGTGTTAACGGAGAACAGAAAACTAAGAAGACTGGATGCGATTTTAAAACCATGGCGAGAGACGTTCTTAAAAAACTGCAGTTTTCCAAGCCAGAAAAAAGAGCAATTATTGTTTTGGAAAACAGTATTGAATCATCAGTTGTCGCTAGCTTAGCATTGTCCAATATTTCAGAGCCAGCGTTTTCAATCTATCGGTTGATAAAAGATTTTAGTTCTTCACTTTACAAAGATAACAGATACAAATTTGTTAAAGATATACACATCAGCAAATGGAGTTCTCTTTTTTCGATTGGATTCAGACGATTTCCTGAAATATGTACAGGTAACAGCGTTTTCAGCTTGACTCGTTTGCCTACACATATTAGGTAAATTATATAAAATATTACACCGTTTTAGATTTTGAAAGAAAGGTGTTTGTTTCGTTGATTTTAAATATTAAGCGGATATTTTTTCGTTGAAGTGAAAAATGGAATATATTGTCACGAAACATGACAAAATGCCTCTTTTTTACGAGTCGAGTATTAGTGAAAATATATACTATAGGTCACGAAAAGCGAAAAAATAACCTTTTATTTAATTTCATCATCAATGAAAAATGGTTACGAGTCCCCTTGCTTGCTATGCAATTGCATGTGTACAGCGCGCAGTAATATATTCATGTATTCATAGATGCGCGACGCGGTTTCAATGCACATAAAATGTTGTGTGTTTATTTTATTTCATGTATTTATGATGAAAACATGTTAAATTTATTCAGTTTGCGTCATTGAAATAACAGTCTTGCATTGACTGTTCGTGCATGCGCTGTTTGGCACTACATTGTGACGTCACGTAAACAACACTTTAAAACGTCTGCACAGGGTTAATGACAGAAAAAGATATGTTGGTGTTCGAACATTTTTCATTGTTAGACCATTTTCTATAATTTATGCAAGTTTTCAAAGCAAAATTCAATAAAAAAAAATGTTTTTTATTAATCAGATTTTTTCAAACAAAATGGCCAAAGAAGTACCATAAAATAAATATGAGTTTTGACTCCGCCCACTTCAATTTATATTTCAAATTTAGCTTTATTAAATGATTACATCGGTAATGCCTGACCATATCATAAATTTAACAACTAAAGAAAACCAAGAAACTATGATATATAACCATGGTAACAGCGGTAGTGTAGTCTTTGATGACTATTTGTTTTAAAACTCGTGTAAAAATATTTTTTCTTAACATGTCTGTTTCAGAGGCTACAATCGTACCATGTGCTGGGAAGTACAGATGTTTGTCTAGTAAGCAATGTATACCATTTGAACAAGTATGTGATGATGTCATTCATTGCAAAAATGGTGATGATGAACGACTTTGTAATTCTGTATGTCCAGAGAAATGTAATTGTACCGGTGATGTTATCAATTGTAAGGCAACCAATATATCAATGTCTGATATTTTATCATGGAGTGTACAGGCTAGAAGTCTTGATCTAAGTATAAATCCACAAGTAAAGGAAATACCTAAACACAATTTAAAATTTCCTTACATGTTACGACTAAATATTTCATCATGTAGTATTCATTATATTGATGAAAGGGCTTTCTTTGACTTGAAAAATTTGTTATCGTTAGATCTAAGCAACAATAAAATACAGCGATTACCTAATCTTGTATTTAGCAAGCTTCGATATCTTACCTATTTGAATCTGGACAGAAATATAGAATTAACAATAATTTCATCGACCGCTTTTAAAGGTTTGAAATCAGTACGAAACTTAAAAATTTCCGGCACAAAACTGAAAAAGATTAGTTCACTTACATTCTCTGGCTTGCAGTTGGACAGTATCGACATTTCTTACAACAGAATTGAGGAAATTGAAGATTTTGCCTTTAACAATACGCTAGTTCATAAAATTAACTTTGAAGGCAATAAAGTTGTAAAATTCGGAGAATTTATGTTTAATGGCGTAAAATCACTTCGGGAGCTTCATACACCTGCATTTAAATTCTGCTGTATCCGACCTTATTATGTTCCTGAAGAAGATTGCAAACCATCGAAGAATGAATTTTCTTCATGTGAAGACCTGATGAGAAATTGTGTACTTCAAGCTGTCCTTTGGATAGTTGGGCTAGCTTCATTGCTCGGGAACCTATCGTCAATTATCTACCGTCTAGTGTACGATCGTGAAAGGCTTAAAATAGGATATGGCATATTTGTAACAAACCTAGCAGTTGCAGATTTCCTGATGGGTGTTTACCTCATCATGATAGCAGTTGCTGATTCACTCTATAGAAACAGGTATTAATAAAGGGCTAACTCACTATACAAAAAAAAGTATTGATCTCGTATACTACCGTGAGAGGCTAAATATACATGTATGTAATGGCATATTTGTATCTAACCCTGTAATTACAAAATTTCTTATCAGCGTTTACCTCTTCATAATGGCAATTGCTGTTTCACTTTAAATATAGCAACAGGTATTTATAAATGATTGGTTCACTATACAAAAACAGCTACTGATTTATGATTGTTTCCTCAGTAACAACTCAGTAACAAGTGCTGATTTATCGTTCTTGCATATCAGACAGGATAATCTACTGTTTACACCGGTGCTAGAAAAATCGGTCATGCACCCGATGTTAGCAAGCCTGTGTGTTTTATATGACGTCGTTCTCAAGCTCCTTTTATCAATCAATGGCCTTTTTAGCATGACGTCATTGTGCTGATATGTATAAATTTATCTATTTTTACACCAGTGCTAGAAATATCTGTCACACACCCCATGTAAGACAACCTGCGTGTTTTATATAGCTTCATTCTCCATGTTCTCACGCACCCATATCAATCAATTGTATTGGCGCCATTGTGCTGATATGGATAAGTTTTAATTCATACTTTGCTACTATTAGAAAAAGCGTGGTCGAGTGGTCCTTGATTTCAGATCACTTGCCTCCTCACCGCAGAAGGTTCGAATCCCGACAGGGATTTTGGGTTCTTTCATGTGTGGAAGCTATCCAGCTAGCTTACGGAACGTCGGTGGTTCAACTTAGGTGCCTACAATAATGCACAGAAGGGCACCTAAGTAGAACCACCGGCTTTCCGTAAGTCTTCCTCCACCAGTAAAGCTGGAACGTCGCCCTATAACCTATACCGTCTCGGTGTGACGTAAACCCCTATCAAACAAACAAACAAAATTACAAAAAAAGTGCTAAATGGAAATATAAGGTTTTACAATTTTTTTTCGACGTATCATTGATTTGTAATAACCAGAAATTGAATCAAACACCGGCTGTCGTTACCCACGGGAATATTTAGTTCTCGGTTGAAATTCGACAGAGCCTCGAGCTAGATAGTCCGGCCTGTAACGGCAGTTGGTAAAGACCCTTCAATTTACAGAAACAAATACTGACTGTTTCATCGTTCAAAAACAACATTTTAACTAATTTAAAAAAAAACAAAGTCAAATTAATTTTCTTAATAGCAACATGTACTCTATCCTAAATAAATATTAACATAACTCCCGAGCCATGTTGCAGTGAATTGTTGTTTTTTTAATCATCATTTATCATTAAGATACAATTTCTATAAATATCCGAATTAATTATACCAAAACAAAAGAAGATATGAGCCGCATCACGACAAAACCAACATAATGCGTTTGCGACCAGCATGGATCCAGACCAGTCTGCGATTCCGCGCAGTCTGATCAGGATCCATGTTGTTCGCTTACAAACCCAATAACAAGTAAAGAAAGTGATAGTGAACAGCATGGATCCTGATCAGACTGCGCGGATGCGCAGACTTGTCTTGATCCTTGCTGGTCGCAAACCCATTATGTTGGTTTTGTCATGACGCGACTCATATGGTACAAGTTCACTTTACCTTGGCTTCATAGTTGGAGATGTATACATTTTACGATTAAATAAAGCCATATGTTTCTTTATGCTATATTCATTACAATAAATTTTAAACCGTTCATCACACAAACGAGTCGATATAAATTATATATTGTTCACACATTATTTGATCGAGGTATCTTTTTTTTCAAAGAAGTATTTAAACAGTTAAATTAAGTCAATAATTCCGTAATTGTTATTTACAAATGTACGTTTATTTCTCACACATCAGAATGAGATTACTTTTATAGAATTTGTTTCAATAACCTGTACATGCTAAAGGAAATAGGTAATAATAAAAAATATTTATTTACATTAATAGACGATGAACATTGGTACATAAATAAACAAAAAAATATTAAAATAATTTATTCCCTTTTCTTTTTCAGATATATATTTGTGGACGATCAATGGAGAAACAGTAATTGGTGTATTACTGCCGGAGTTTTATCTACAATTTCATCTGAAGCCAGTGTCCTCTTTCTCTGTTTGATAACATTAGATAGACTTTTAGTGATCAAGTTTTCCGTTTGCACAGTGAGGTTTGGACCTATGAAAGCCTATATCTCTTGTGGATTGTGCTAGGTTCATTTCCGTCATCCTATCGGTCATTCCAATTCTTTACACAAGTCACTTCCAAAACGAATTCTACTCTAGAACAGGAGTTTGTATTGCATTGCCTTTAACACGAGATAAACCTCCAGGGTGGATTTATTCTGTATCCATTTTTGTCGGCCTGAATTTATGTACTTTCATTCTTGTTGCTATAGGACAAATCTCAATATTCACAGAACTTCGACGATCAACCTCAGCTATAAAGAAGACAGAAATGTCAAGAAGACGTGACTTGAAAGTTGCTAGAAATCTTATACTCGTTGCAACAACTGATTTCCTGTGTGTGGTTTCCGATAGGTGTGATGGGTAAGATCTCGCATACATATGGTATATGTGTTTGTATTGTCTGCTTTACAATTTATTAATTAACCTGGATTACACACGTCTTACTTCAACGATATTGCACGATTTATATGTAGCACCTTCTGTAAAAGCATTTTTTTTTTCTTTTTATTCGTTAGGATGTGACTTTTCAATTTTCAAGTACAAGTTTTTTTTTCGAAATATATACCTGTACATGATTTATATATTCTTTTATAAGAACTTAAAAAACAGTAACTGCGATGCTAAATCTAATATAACAATGTCAAAAGCACAGCTTTTCCTTTGTTTCAGGTATTTTAGCCTTGAACGGATTTCCGATTCCAAGTGATGTTTATGCATGGTCAGTCGTTTTCATTTTACCAATAAATTCTGCTCTTAACCCGTTCTTGTATACAGTGACAGCAATAATCGGGAAGAAGGTAAAACAATTGGTTACTTTCCTGAAGACATAATTATACTTTTGTCTTTTAATTTACTTCTTGCATATCAGAAAGGATTGTCAACTGTTTAAACTTGTGCTAGAAAAAAAAACTCTTGTCTTACACCCCTACCCGTGTAAGACAAGTCGCGTGTTCTAAATGACGTATCCCAAGAATCATGTATCATGAATGAATTGCGTTCTATGCATGACGTCATATTGCCGTCTGAAGTTCATCCGCTTCTCACCGAAAAGGGCTAAATGGAAATATTAGCTTTTGTTTTTTGTTTTTTGTTTTCTTTTCGAGATAATAATTTATATCAAGTAAGCACGAAAAATAATCAAACACCGACTGTCGTAACTAAAGGGAATTTTTTGCTTTCGAGTTACAACTGTTCAGCGGAAACCAAGCCTCGTAAACAGGTATCCTCGAGCTAAATGTTCCCGTATGTATGTAAGATTCTAATAATCTATTCATGATATAAGAAATTCGTTATGATGGTCATTTATTATGTCTTAAATTTATTAAATATTGGGGACAAAGACTTTGGTTTGAATCACAGTACCATTTGTGTATCTAACATATAGAAAAGCCTCTGGCGAGTATAATATTATTTTTATTAAACGAGTCAATAAAATTAGTAATGAACATACACGAGTATACTATCTTATCACATACCTAAAATACAGACCGTTTAAAGTGAAAAAGGAAAACTTTTCATTGACGCGCCTAAAGTGTAACGCTAACATTTTGCGCGTCTTAACGCAATGTTTTATATGTAATGTTAATGATGTCACATCAAAATATATACACGATTGTGCAATACCGTGTTTTCGTAGTCGCAAAAGCGGCATGGGTATTTGAAAATAGCAATAAAGAATTTGTGAGATAATAAGCTAATAAGTTATGTTGGTAAAAGTGTCACAAAATTAAAACAGTTTAATCATTAATTTTTTCAGTCGTCTCGTACATTATATAACGAAACACGGTATTAAGTGTGCTGCAGCACATGAAATAATAATGTCGAAAGAAACACATCTATTGATATGATACCTAGGTCGAACGAATTTGGTTAAATCTTTAATTAAATATACCTGTTATTTACTATATCTGTAACTTGTATCATAGTTTGGGGACCTTTCTGTTGAAAATGTGTCCGAGTTAAATCGTATAGGTATACATGCACAGTGGGTTAACTGGAGTACAGGTAATAGTTACCCGCACACCGGAGCATGCCCATTGATTGGTTAATTTTTGCTGGGGTTTACTATTTTTTCGGCCGAGAAAGGAAAAGCGACAGAAATATTATATTCAGATGCTCGTTAATTGGTAACTGTTTTCCGGGGTTTCATATTGCGACAACAGGGATTGTGTTTTGTATGTTTTACTATGATACAAAAGAGAAAGAACATCAAAACACTGGGCAATCTGATTAACACTCAGGGGGGTATGCCCTCTCGAACAAATCAGATAGCTTCGTGTTTCGATGCTCTTTCTATTACTAAATGCAGTCTCACTTGTCAATGCGACCACGTGTATTAAGCGACTTTAGTCGTATGCGACCTTTTTAAATTCCCACCGATCATTTTCTCAAACTAATGTATAATTAAATGATTATTGTAATTCATTATATCAGTATTGAAGTTTTAGACTTTAAATATAATACTATTCATAGTGATAGCAGTGTTATATGGAGTATGGACGTTAAAGGTATAATGTTTTTGCAGTTGGGCAATAGTATTATTTGAAATCAGTGCTTCACTTTGTATTTTAGAGTTTCAATCCAAGTCTTGATGAGCAGAGTCGAACAGCGGTCCAGAAAGGTAAATACTAACTTGCAATCAGATTCACTTCTATAATTCTTTTATTGTTATTTTCTGGGACGAATTTTTTAACTTACATATATGCTACGTAATATCAAGACAATATGCAATATAAAGGTGAACGGTTTAAACAGCTGACAAGGAGCGACGTAGGATGTAGGACTGTGACCATTTAATCTGATCTAAGGAGAACAACATAGACTGTTGTTCAAACTGTTTGAAATGCAAAGAACCAGTAAACATATAATTATTGTATAGATGACGTGATTTACAGAAGTTTCCGGCACAAATAATGTATAGATCAATACAACGTGTAATTTTTTTCAGAAATTGGCACCGCCATTTTAGAATATCAGAAATTTAGCAGATCTGTGCGGATGATAAGTGAACTTGTACCAGTCGGGACGAAACGTAGTATTCAAGAAATTCTTGATGATGACAGTTGCTTGTCAGTCAATGTTGTTGCGGCTCTGTGCAAAGAACTTGCCGATTATCTACGTCTGTTGCATGAGAATTATATTGCTATAGATCAGATATGTGAGAAAAACATTTACATTCAAGTGTATAAAACAAAGGTAACTACACAGTTTTTATAAACAATTTCAATTCCATTTTTCTTTCTGCAATAACACTAAATATGCAATATTTACAAAAATATTAACAAATTAGATATGCAAAGATATAAAGAAAGTGGTCAATGTGAAGCTTAGGTTTTGACAAAAACACAAAACAATAATAATACATAGAGGACAACAATATAGATTTATGTTTTTAAATTGATAAATTGCATATTGTATGCCAGTTTTTTTTATTTTAAAATATTTGAGAATAAATATTTAGTATCGTTCGATTGAAAAAAAAATATATATAATCGCTCAAACCCAGGAAGAACCATTGATATTGTCTACCGCACTACTTCTTTTCAAATTGCATACAGTAAAACTCAGTTATTGAAATAGTGTAATTGATAATTACGTGAAGTATGCCTTATAACGTTCCTACATGTTAAACTCGTTGCAGAAATCCTTGCTTGGTGTAAAGTCAAATTGTTGTAATGTTTATAAATTGAAAAAAAAGTCATTAGTTATATATAAACATTCCTTGAAATTCTCATCTTTTACCTCATATCCTTTTAACATTATTCATTTTAACGCACAGCTTCCATTGTTTAATCAGTAACAATGTCCCATTCCGTCAATAGGTACACAAACCAATTGTTGTAATCGATGCCAAAGCGACGCTAGCTGCCGATGAAAGAGCTCTACAGGAAAATATCCGCCAATTTGGTAGCATTCTCCGAAAACTTATTTTAAAATGTGAAAAGGGTTTTTAAAGAAATGATTGTTTGCAATGAATGCAAGTCACCTGTATTACGCGGTTTATGTACTTAGTAATATATGTGAGTGAGACCAAAATAAAGTGCTGGCTCACCATTATATATACCGTATTCGGTATATATTTGTGAACATGAACTCTGAATCGTCTAGAGATACTGCGCTCCAACACCGTATAGTTAAATCAAACATGCGTTGCATTGGTACTGGATGACGTGAATAGGAAATTGAAAATACTTGACATGTCATTTTCCCGTGTATATATTTTGAACGTAACGTTTTTTTTTTTTTGTTTTTTTTTTTTTGTTTTTTTTTTGTTTGTTTTTTTGTTTTGTTTTTAGTACCTTCATCTATGTCATTAATCTTTCATACTTTGTCAAATCATAATCGCATCAACTCGGCTTTTTATTTAAGATAATCTCGGACTAAATACGGATTGAAAATACAAAAATGTATTTCTATCACATGGTTTCAGGTATTATAAAAACAGAGGGTGCAACCTGTGATAATGTGTCACAAATGTTAATATCTAACATCAAAAGGAATATAAATTATATTTAGGTAAAATAATGATTGAAATTATGTCTGACCATCATAATCAATTTAAAAATGATGGCCAGGTCAAAATTAATGTCAAAGGTCTCTACAACCATCATAATAAGCTAATAAATAATGTACTGCTTACTTTTATATTCATGAATTTACTTACTTTAGGTGGACTTCTACTCGATATATTTGAAAAAATGTCAAAAAGCTCTAAGCGTAAAATTACTATTCATTTACATGATTGGTTACTTAGCGTAGGTTAGACCAAAATACCTGATCCGTTCTGTGTATTCTTACTAATTAGTAATGTGTTCGTGATTCTTATCCGAACTTTGATTAAAAAGAGCCTAGAAGTTGCGATTGTTTCAAATCATTGTTGTTTTCATGTTGGTAAATTAAATGCGTTTGGTTGTTATTTTGTCAATTTAATAGTATTTTTACTAATTCAATATTCATAACATCGTTAACGAATCAATATATATAGATATATACATGTATTCATTAAATGTTTTTTTTTCCGATGATGTTTTAAAATTTTAATTAGTGTTTTTCGATAACTGTTTGACGGATGTTGTTAAAATTCAATCATTTGGTATTTTATTAATATTATTAAACTAATTATGTAAAATGTTGTCATCACAGTATCAATGTTGTTTACAGTGATAGAATTGTGTATTCTTACTGTTGTGTTTGGGATTATTATCCGAAATTTGAAAGGTTCAATTGTATCAAATCATTGTTTTACATGTTCTTATTAGTGTTGTATCTGTTGTTGTATATGAATTATTTTGTCAGAGAGGAGGGTGGTAGTTATTGTGGTAAAGATTACAATCCTGGCAACATTGGTTCGAGTCCAACTCAGGTGATAGCAATGTACCCTTGTGACACCAGTACAAGTTAGTTAGTTCAAGGAGGATAATTCGAAAGCTTCAAGGAAGAACTGTTTGCTGATAGTGTAAGAACGTGTGGTTCAGCCCTTTTGCTATTTTGGTGTTTATATTATGATAGCATTATGTTACAAATGTGTTAAAAAGAAGAATAAAATATGTTTAAATCAAATTCGAAAAGCTGACGCAGAATGAGCTTTATAAACATTGATAAAGGAAAATATCCGATAGTTTTGGAAACTTACCTGGGAAAGTTATTTCATAATGTGAAAAGGATTATTTGTGTACACACAAATTTACAAAACAAAATGTAGATTTATAATCACATAATATTGCTTATATATATCATAAATACATGTGGTGTTTGGTGTTTCTTTCATTGTCAACATCTATATATATATATATATATATATATATATATATATATATATATATATATATATAATATATATATATATATGTACATTCAAGTTATTGTCAAGATATTATTAATATTTTACTCAGTGTCTAATCATAGTGTCTAATCATATTTTTTGATGTTTGTGGATAAAACGTATTTACTGCTGTTTCTTTTGTGTGCTATAGTTTTATTATAAACAATTTTAACTTTATATGTTTAGATTATAGATATTGTTGCTTTTATAGATATTCGTTATTGTAGCTTTTAGTGTTGTAAATAAGCTTTTTTCTAGATGTGTTTTCAGTAATTTGTCATTTCTGATTACAGTTTAAAAAGGAAAACGTACTTTTATGGACATTCTTTAAAGGCCCAGTATGCCTTCACAAATGCTTTTATTTTTTATTTCACAAAAAGCCTTTTAATGTTGGTGCACTTTAACAAAAAAGTATCTCAAAGTTACACATTAGCCAATTATCTGAACCATTTTTGTCATCTGTTTCTTGTTGCAGTAAGCACAGTTTAGAGTAAAATAAGTTTCTTGTGTTGAAGTAAAAATTCTGCCTATGTTTACATTTGTACTTTTTTGACAAATTATTTCACGTTTATGGCAAATATTCTCTGAAACCATTATCTTAATAACATTAAATTTCATTTTTGCCCTTTCTAAAGAATAAAATAAATTGTTTCTTTGGCATAATGTGCCTTAAATAAAGTTTATCGATTTAATACTGCATAATGAAAAGTACAGCATGTTAAATAATGAATTTAAAGACATTTTACTCCACACTTTCTGATATAGGAAGAGAACAATGAAGCATTCGAATAGTTGTAAGACTGATTGCAGCAGCTCCTTTGCTTGAGAGTTTTAATCCATGACTCTATTTGTTTTTGTTTTGTTCACAACAGCGAATGTTGTGAATGGGGAGATGGGGTATATGTCTCCGGGTCTTTTCAATTTTTTTTTATTTCAAGGCGATTGAGTGTATTTTGCATTTGTGCAAATAGGGTAGGCGTTGCAATAAGGATATTTTTCGCATCTTTCTTTTGGAATAAGAATTATCTTGATATAGCAGTTGAGATAGAATTTTATATTATTTTATTCAATGTCAGATATTAATACTAGTTTTTAATAATGTGTCTTTATAGTGTTTTAACCGGAGTTCAAAGTCCCGTGTGTTGTATCTTTTAGTCAAAAATTAACATAACACATAAATTTATTAATAATTCAAGACCGTTGATTGAGACAGACCCAGACAGTAATTATAGTAAAATACATGTAGTTCTTGAAAGGCACAGAAATCAAAAAAGTGTTAATTAAAGATTAAAGAGTGTTTAATAATGGATTGATAATAGATTCAGAGCATATTAGATGTTAAAGAACTTTAAAAAGTAGCGTTAAACGTGCAGTAATATTCCGAAAATATAGCAAAATATAAACAAAGTAGTATTCTGACTTCTGTAAAGAAATGTTATTCACTATAATTGTATAGATTACCAAGAAAACATTTAAATAAAAAAAAGGTTCTTCTAGCCAATAAGTTTTTGAAATAGTAAAAAAATATCCTTATATAAAATGTTTTTTGAAAAACAGAGAGAAAAAAAAGGATAGTTTTTTTCGGACAAATGGACCTTTTTTGTATTGGTATGAACAACAGATATCCAACGGGAAATCTTCGCACCCGGAATACAATTATATGTTAATTTCTTCTGGGGTTAATAATTTTGAAAAAAAATATTGGTGGTTTAACTTGAAACCGTATCGTGACCGTAAAATTAATTTTATAGAAACAATACAAAACCGATGCGATAAAATATTAACTCAAGAGTTTTCTTGGTAACCATGTTTACACAAACTAAGTTAAGAATACATATACAAAACAAAAACTGTAGTTATATCATGTGTATTGCTATAAATCTATGTAGTCTTTTTAGTGTATTAAATGTTGTACGCAAACTGCCTTTGTTATGTTTTGCTTGAAACTGTCACCAGCCGTTTTATATACGGCTTGAAATCATCAACTGGGTAAGAATAAAAATAATTTATCAGCATTTATATACATATAGATATACAAAGTGTGTTCAAATATGAATGCAACTAGGCCAATAATTCGCTTTTAACCTCTGTCTTGCACAAACTATATGTACATGCATCGCATAGATGGCTGTGCAAGCTCTCACTTGAGACTTATACATGTGTAACTCAGTTCAGTCTAGCTGTGACAAAAACACTATCTACTCGTGTACACTAAAGCAAAAATGGTCTCCTTTCACCGACCAAATACGGTCCTATATCTAGAACAGCTTTATTCTTAGTATACAGGTGATATACATATTAATATATTTTATATGAAAATATGTCGTGCTGATAGGAACAACGAACTTTTTTTCATCTGTCACACACTGTGTAAGAAATTTAAAAGTGATATGGATGCAGTTAAAAGATGCACCTCATGCAACTTTTCAAAAAATGGTTATAAAAGTAAAAGATCTGATAGCTACTGATGTAAGATTTACAACTAGGTAAGAATCTCCGAACAGTTGTTAAAACAGTTACCTAAATACAACAATCGTCCTCAAAGACCTTGCATAGCAGAACGTACCATGATCGTCAGAAAGGTCATGTGTGTAATTTTCTTTACCAATTAAGGTCCTGTCATTCAATTTGTCATACCTAAGGGTTAAATCTGAAAATGCCAAGTTTGACAAAAGGCAAAGTCCTTCATAAATAAAAGAAATATTCAAACAAGAGTGTCATAATGCGTCCTTGATCTCCCATCTGACCCATCGGAAACAATTGCATTCTGACCAAGTTTCATTACAGGTGAGTCAAAAAAATGTGACCACTAGAGTGTTAACAAGGATTATCCATATTTAAGCAGTGTGACCTAGCTTTTACCCAGGTGACCCATATTCTCGAACTTGACCTAGAAATCATCAATACAAACTTTCAGACCAATTTCCAGGATACTTGGATCAAAACAATAGCCACTAGAGTGTTAACAAAATTTTCTTATTTTTAGCTCCGGTGACCTTGTTTTTCATGTGAGAACGATCCATGTTCAAAGTCATCTGAGCAAATATATTGAAAAGCGTTCTGAGCAAGTTTGATGATAATTGAATCAAAATTGTTACCACTAGAGTGTTAATAAGGTTTTTCCATATTTGG